GGCGCGCCCACTTCGCAACGGCCTGGCATACGCTGCCCCGAGGAAATGCCTCGTGCCCCAGTTATTCCCTCATGGATGTCTAATTCCCGTCTTGCCCATTTCTGCTGCTCGACCTCGTTCGTTCCTTCCCCTGCAAACTGGGCGGCAATGCGCCCCTCTTCCAACATTTGAAACATACTCGGTCATTCGTGGGAGCAAGTCCCCACCTCACTCCATCCACCAGGTCATTCACCACTGCACCCGCCGCAACTGTCGTTTCCCTTTGGCTCTTCCTTTTAACGCACCGCCCACGCGCCATCTTCACCCCCGCGCCTCCACCCGCGCCTCCGCTGTCTTTTCCTACGCCTTCCCAAAAATTCGCTGCAACACGCCCAAAGTAACACCGCCTGTAAAATTCAAACACCTCCCCTCTTCTACCGTTGCCTCAGTGCACGGCGTCTACGCCTCCACTCCCGTCGCATCTGTCCTGGCCCACCAGCATCCGCCCTGGCCCAAGTACTTCCGTCTACTAAGTCGCTGGCCCACCAACATCTGCCCCTGTCCGTATCCATATGCATTCCAACCTTCGCGAGTGTCCCGCGCGCTGTTCTGATCGTCGCTCACTCGGCTAACTCCTGCAATGGCACGCCTGCGTCCAATCACTTCTCGCGCGCCCAGTCCTCGCGTTCAACGCGCAGCTTCTGGTAATTTTCTTGAGCGCGTGAGTCCAGGGCCTGAAAAACGCACTCCTAATGCCGGCCCTCGAATCAGCCCCCGGCGCGCGCCACAATCGCCCTCGGCGCCGCGACCCCGATAGGGAGGTCCAACGCGCCAAGGGAGCCACATTTTCGGGGGCATTCTACCAGCGCCGTCCACGGCCCCAGCCGGGTGGGCACGTCACCAACTTTTCCTTGGTTTATCGGGGTTCGTGGCCAGGTTCATCTTGGCTTCCTGCAGCCCATCTCCTTCCCGTAGCCCAGTCTAACTTCCCCCCTGTCTTCTACTCCATCCAGCCTGTGGTTCAGCATGTACCACATGAATTCGTCCAACTCGCGCACCACTTCCTCGCTGACTTCGAAGTCTCATTTGGTGTGGCTGTTCACTCAGGCTGGCTCCCATGCACTCCGAAACGACGTGCTGCTGCTATGGATTCTGGCCATGTCGTCGTCGTCATCATCGCACAGCGCTCCATCCGTGGTCTCTAGCTTGTCCCCTCAATTAGTTCACGGTTTCGACACTGGGGATTGAGTTGTGACAGGGCGTTTGACAGTCTCTCGCTCCATTATCGAAAACTGGTCGGTCACCTGCGAATTTGTTGAACTGTTGCGTGGCATTTTAGCCGCAAACAGGTTTCTGTCCTTGCCCTGTCTTGTTTTCCTCTCCACAATCGATTCCACGATCTTGGCTACTTAGTCAATCGTGTTATTTTGCACCTCTGTCTGATCTTCCATACGTTCGATTCCCAGCTGAAGAGTCTTGGCTGTTCAATCAGCATACATGTTGAGGCTCACGATGCTCAGCAGTAGAACGATCATCTTCTTGGCCATGAGTAACAATCCGTAGCTCTCTTACTTAGTGACGGTTCTGACCCCTGCTGCCGTCTGTCTCACTATGAACTCTCTCATCCCTTCATGGTTGGCCCATAACGCCACCTTCTCGTAACTATAGTCGCCCCCATATTGTGCTGCCTCACATGGCTCACTGAACCTTGCCGGGTTGAGGTTGGGACAGTGATCTTGGTATTGGGGGGTAATTCTTGAAAAGGGCATTCTGGACGTGCAATGACGACTGCCGCTACTGCTGCACCCGCCTTAAACCTCGCTCCGCTACCATGCAAAGTCCAGAAGAAGGAATTGCACGGGAACGAATCAAGGACACTGGGCGATGTTAACTGAACAGCGAGGCTAAGCGAATGCGCCACGGATGATTACCTGAACCAGACGGCGTCGGTAACGACGGCCGCTCGACACTCACGTACAGCTCAGCTCCTCACTCAATCGCAACCGCATGTTCTAACATCTCCCCCCCCCCTCCTCCCGCCCTCGCCCCTCGCTCCCACCCTGCGTGGTTTCGGGCCTCGTTTCCTCCTCGGTCGGTCCCTCCACTTGTGGTCTTTCCCTGGCCCTCGCTTCGTTTCGCAGTTCGGGCCCTCGTCGGTCCCGTCTTCGCTCTCGCGGCTCTGTTGCCTGGGAGCTAGCGCTTGATTCGAGCCCAGGTCCGACTCAAATCTCCTCATTCGTGGATGCGTGCTTACCGGCCCCCTCTCCCCAAGAGAAAGCAAAAAACACAATGGAGGTAACGCCCGAGAACCGTTGACAGGCATGCTGTGGTGCTCGCGTGCTCCTTTGGCGGCCATTAACAAATTGCATGCACTCGCCGACATGTTGCGGCGCGTCCATGCTATTGTGGTGCTGGCAAAAAGGGGCATGCTGTTGTGCATCCAAATGGCGCTCGCAGGCTATTGTAGCACTGGCAGGATCTTGCTTCATCATTCGATCGCATATTGCCTCAAGTTCCCCATCACCCCAACTCTTCGGACGCGAGCAATTATGATGTGTTGACGCCCGGACACTCGAGCTGGTGAACATACTCCAGAGGGAGAAAGGGGATGGAGGAGGTGGAGGTGGGGGTGCAGGAGGATGATGAGGCGGAAGAGGTACTAGAGGGGAGATTGAGGAGGAGGAGGAAGAAGGATGGAGAGGAGGTACAGGAAACACGGGGAGCCCGATCCCCTCAGAGGGTCAGGCGAAGGACGAGAAGGAAAGGTAGGAGGAGCAGGAGGAGAAGGCGGAGGCGGAGGCGAAAGGGGACGGGAGGAAGAAGATGAGGGAGAGGACGAGGAGGAGGCGGGCGGAGAAGGCGGAGGGAGGAGGCGGAGGAGGAGGAGGTGGGGGGGAGGGAGGAAGAGGAGGAGGAGGAAAGGAGGAGGAGGAGGAAAAGGGAGAGGAGGAGGAGGAGGAGAAGGAGGAGGAGGAGGAACAGTGTAAACCCAAGATGCATGAACGACATTGCAATAAGCCCTCCCTCAAAATTCTCTGTTCATAGGTCCCTGCAAGAATGTATCTCCGTTGCGGGAAGTGTTCCATTGAAGACGATCGCATGAGAATTCCCTATAGTGCCGAACACCATCCCTGGGAATTCAACCGCACACACCATTGAAACTGCTACAGACTGTAAGCCGAATGTGCACGGCGCCATTTTGAAAACTACCCGCCCTCCATCCTTCAGCATATTGCAAATCCGCCGACCCCTTGGGGTCACGGCGTGTGAGATGCTTCCCCTTCCCAAAACCCCTCCCCCGGGAGCCCGGTCCGGCCGGCTTGGAGAGGGGGGGGAGGGGGGGCAAAGGTGCCGGCCGCACCCTTGGAGCCTCAGGGGGTCCCAAACCAAAACGGGCCAAGAGGGCCCCAAAAGGACCCCCGGACGGTCCAAGAGGCCTACGAATCGCCAAAAGATCGCTCCAAGACGACCAAGATTGCCTCCAGACGGTCCCAGAGGCCCACGCCCCAAGAAGCCACCAAGAGGCGTCCCAAGTGGCCCCAGATGCAAAAATCGTCTCATTCCCTAGTGAAAACGTCTAATTTTAGAACATTCGCCTCTTCGGCTTTCACGAGGCCCACAACGGCCCAAGAAGCCTTTGAGATCAACCCAAGAGAGCCCAAGAAGCCCCCAGAGGCTCCAATACGGCCCAAGACGGCCCAAAGACAGCCCCGGAAGCTTCAAAACAACCCAGGAGGGCCCCAAGACGGCCCCAAGAGGAGGCCCAGAGGGGGAACCCGAATGAACATTTCGAGCACTCGGCCCCGAAAAAACCTGAGGAGGCGCCAATAGGCCCCCAAGAGGCTCCCACGCGGCTCTCGAGAGGCCCAAAAGAGGCTCCTAGAGGCCTCAAAACGGCTCCCAAGAGGCCTCAACAGTGCTGCCAGGAGAGCCCAGAGAAGCCCAAAAGCAGAGCCGCGATCCGCAGACCGCCCCCGACGAAATCCCAAGAAACTGAAACCCCAAGATTCCCCAGAAATCGTTCCGCAAACTCCGTTCACTCTTACTGCCGCACCAAGGGGTCGGCGGTGCGGCGTCAGCCAATGAATCCACGTCCGGAGGTGACGTGCTGAGCGGCAGCGTTTTTCGGCGAACGCCTTAATGCAACGTATCCGATGTATCCCAAGACTGCACAATTTCTACATATTGTATCATGTTACATTACTATGTCTCCCCCCCTTAATCCCCCCCCAGGGCCGCCGCCGAGTCGCCGACCCCTTTCGTCCACTAATTCAACAACCAACAATAACCTACGGAAATCATTGATGTTGGCAGCTGGACCCTCCTCGGAGCCCACGAGGGGCGTCAAGACGGCTCAAGATGGCTCCAAGGCGGCCCAAGGGAGTCTCAAAACGGCCTCAGGACGACCCAAGATGGCCCCAAGAGAGCCAACAAGCCTCCAAGACGCCGCATTAGGGCCCCCAGAGGACCCACCAAGACCGCCTCCAGAGGCCAAAATCATTGATTTTCCTATAGTTTTGGGAAGATTTGGGCGTCCTCGCCTTTCTCGACTCTGACAAGCCAATGACGGCCCAAGCAGCCTCCAAAATGGCACCAGAATTGCCCAAGAAGCCCCCAGAAGGGCCCCAAGACGGCCCGAGAGGGCCCCAATACGGCCCAAAGAAACCCCCAAGACGGTCCAAGATGCCCCTAAGACGGCCCAAAAGAACCCCAAGGGAGCCCCACGGCGGCCGCGGGAGGCCCCCAAGACGGTCTCCGAAGGGGCGAAACGGCGCAAGAGCCCCCCAAGACGGCCCAAGCCGCCCCCAAGACGCCCCAAGAGGCCCCAAAGAGGCCCCCAAGGGGCCCCAAGAAGTCCCCAAGAGGGAGGCATGGCGGCCCAAACTGCCTCCAAAATTGCCACCGAGCGGATGACACATGCGACGAAGACGCAGGCGGGCCTCTGCCCGCAACTGGACACGATGACGACGACGTCCCTGATGATAGCGGCAGGTGGAATGATATTATTTGACTACGCGCACCTCTTCCCTCGCTTGCGCGTCTTCGCGCAATCTGCGCATTTCCAGTCCGGGGCAACGCGAACTGTCCACCGGCGGTCGTGCGGCCGCGGCGCCTTCTTGCACGCGCTGCATGGCGGCCAGAGGCACGCGTCGCACGTGTACCTCGGCCCTTCCCAGTTCGCAGAACGCCGACCAGTTTTGGCCGCGTCTGGTGACGGGGCGCCACAGGCCACGCACTGACCGACCCGCGGGCACGCCGGGCACGTCCACGACGGCCTGTTGGCCGCCAGATACTTCGTGCTGCGCGGCCGCGGGACTACCTTGCAGACGTCGCAATTCGGGAATCTGCAGGCCTCACACTGGTAATTACTCTGGCTGTAATGCAGATTCCTCTCTGGCCTCGCCCCGCACTTCCCGCAAGGAGGGCGCATGCGCAGGTCGAAGCACTCCTTGCACACAACGCACTCGGGCCCCCCATGCATATTCAGCCGGCCCAGGTCAAAGTGCTCCATGCCCTTCAGGCCCCCGCACTGGAAGCACGTGTACAGCGCACCTGTCCTCGACGGCGGCCGGTGCAGTTGCGCGGGGCGACACGCCAGGCATACCGCTCTCTCGAGGGCGTCATCTGAGCGCAACTGCTCCAACATCTTCTTGTCGTACTCCGAGACGCGCCTGGCTTTGCCGCATTCAAAGCAACGGAGCTCGCCGGGCAGAGGGGCAGGCCTCTGCACATCCTTTCCGGCCTGCTTCTGCGCGCAGAGGGCGCACCTCCTCCACGCGCCCTGGCTCAGGACTGCCACGGCGTGCTCCACGGGGTCGCTCGCTCTCATGCCACGTCCTGGGAAGTTGCCCGCTCTCTTCCGCTGGTGGCAGTCGGCGCACTGGAAAGTGACGTCCACCAACTTCTTGGACGACCTGGACGCGGCTTCCTTCTCTGCCTTGGCCCAGCCGGCTTCCGCCTGCTCCGTCGTCATCTCCCCGGCTGTCAGGGAGTGCAAGAGCCATGGGCCCGTCTGATGCCCCTGGCGGAAAAGCATGGGCGAAAAAGGCTGCGTGATGATCAGATCGTCAGCCCTCCTGGTGCGGCTGATGGCCACGTAGCCCGTGGGGACCATGGCTGCGCGGGGCGTCGTGCGCGCGTCCAGGAGGTCGATAATGGCCTGCGGCAGCGCGGCGCCGGTGACGCAGTGGGCCGCGGCGGCGAAGTGCGGGACCAGCGGGAACCCCGCGCGCTTCACCATGGCCTTGAAGCCGGGACTGCGATCCCAGGACACCTCCCTCTGCTTCACGGGGAAGACGCCCGCGGGCTGATTCCCAAAGCGGGGCGCCGTGTTCCCGGGAATTTGCACCATGATCGCCTCGGGCACGTGCTGCAGGACCAGCTCCGGCTCGGACCTGTGGTCTTTCACCAACTTCGAGTCGTCGGGGTGGAGGACCCAGCCCGTCACGGTACCCCAGGAGTGCTTGCAGGCTCCCGCCTCCGCATTCTCCGTGGTGGTGAACCGCGCCCGCATCCCCTCGAAGATCGGCAGCACACCCGGAACTCCGCCAGTCTTGTTCTCGGGGTACATGAGCCAGTTCTGCCTGGCGTGGGAGAGCGACTCCGTCGACCTGCATGCGTCGTCCCGAGTGAGGGGGACATCGCGCGCCACCACCCAGAGGAGCTGCTTCCCAGCATTGGCTGCCGCATTCGCCGCTCGCAGCGTCAGAATCCTGCTCTTCGGGGCGTTGTACGGGTGCACGAACAGCGCGTCCGCGAACGCCGTGCTCACCTCCCGCTGTCTGGCATCGCTCTGAGAGGCGACGCGGCAGCGCCGATGGCGTTCCGCGCTGCACTCAGCGCACTCCAGGGATTTCATGTCCTCCCAGGCCCGACCTGCTCCGAACATCCGTGGCCACTCAACTGACCAGAGCGCGCGGCACTTCGCCTTCCCGCGGCCGAAGTGCCCCGTCGAGGCCTCGGCGCTGCCGGGGCTTGCGGGCATCCAGGAGCCGGGCACATCAGTGGGGAAGCCGTGGACGAAATCGTACATCCTGTCCGACAGATTCCCAGCGCGCGCTTCGGCGAGAAAGCTTCTCCACCACACGTCTGAGCAGCGGTGCGACTGGGCCAGGGCGTAGCGGTTAGTCACCGAGTGCGGCAAGCCCTCTGTCCAGAACATCTCCAGTATGCGGCCGACGTTGGCGGGTCTCTTGACAAATGGGTTGGCGGCAATACTGAGACTCCTGACGGGCGGTATCTGCCATAAGTCCCCGAGCAGCACCAGGTTGAGCCCTCCGAACATGGCGAACTGTTTTGGAACGCGTGCGTCCACGGCCCAGGGGTTTCCCTTGTCCCTCGTCGAGTCCTTCACCTGCCTGTGCACGGCGTCCAGCAACTCCACCGAAACGTTCTCCACCTCGTCGATGATGAGCCAGCGCATGTGCTGGATTTTCGTGTGCAGCATGTTCTCCGACAACTCCGGGTCCTTCTTCCCGCCGGACTGGACTCCCGTGATGAGGTCGATTCCGAGCTTGCTGAAGTTGTGGATGGTTCGCCCACCGATGTTGCTCGCCATGGAATTCATGGGGGCGGTCTTGATGAAGTGCACCTCGTGTTCCCATCCCATGCACGTGGGGAACAGCCCCACGCCCTCCTCGCACAGCCACCGGATGACCTCCGATTTCCCTGAACCCGGCAGGCCGAGAACGAACAGCCGGGAGCATGGCGATCCGCGCAGCTGGTCCTGCTCGCGGGCCTCCTGGACGCACCTGTCGGCGACGGCGTCCAGGATGCTCATCTGCTGCGGGTCGGGGGTGATCTGGTGCGTCTGCAGTCCTGCGATCGGGCAGGGATGCGCATGGCCTTGCCTCCCTTCACACTACCCACCTTACCGACGACTGCTGCACAACCCTGTCTGCTACACATCACACGTGCCGCGCCACCTGCCTGGCATGCCCAGACGTGTATACATCTGGGAAGTCCATGTTTATACATACACACACTATACGCGCGTGCACATGTAGACGCGTACGCGCACCTTCCACAGAGCACGCATGGCGCGACCGAGGCAATGCAAGCAAACGCAGCGCCATCCTTCTAAGTGTATACACGAAGCCTCGCTTGTAATCAACCTTCCCCATACTTGGATCTACTCACCACTTACGACATGACGTTCTGGAGTATACATGCTGTGTACACATTCTGCACATGCTCTGTACAAACTCTGTTCGATACACGCCAGCTCAAACGCCGAGGTTTCCATCCTCGATATCTTCTTCCAGAGCGAGACGAATCGGGCGCCCCCGACCGAACTGCATCCAGATCGTGCTTTTGCCAACTGCACGTCTCGAGATTGCCCCCCCCCGGTCCTCTCCGCCAGCTCTGGATGTTGCTTGTCAGGTCAGCGTCGCCAGGGTACAGCTTCTCCCGCATCTTGGAGCGCGCAATCTTCCGCGGTGGCTCCTGGGCATTCCCGCGAGCCCCCGCTGGCATTGCACTGGAATGCCGAAGAGCAGACTGTCGCAGTGGCAAGTTCAACGTGGGCGCCCTGTTCGGCGGGTCCCAGAAGGACATGCTCTGCTCCAGCGCTTTGTGCACCGAATGGGAGAGGTTCCCAATGTCCTCGCCAGCGGCATCTGCCCCGGCGTCTCGGTCTACTCGCCGTAACTCTGCCATGATGCTGCTGGGGCTGAGGACCGGAAACGCGTTCTCGGGTAGCGCCTCCACCGGCTTCGAGTCCTGGTCGTCCTCGCCCTCGTCGGCGTTCTCCGGCATCGTCGTCATGGTGCGGAGCACGTTCGCCCACAGGATGCGGTTGGACGGCGAGACGATGTGGCCGCGAAGGTAGTGCTTGAGGGCTACTCGGAAGCTCGGCGCGCCCCTCCCACAGCGCTGGCGCTTGGGCGGCAAGTTCAGATTCTTCGCTAGCGGAACAGGCCCCCGAGAAGATCCGTACTTGCACACCAATGTCCATGGTCGGAAGTACGCAGACAAAATGGCGCTGCGGCGCTCAGGCGTCATTTCGGGCTGAGGCATGACGGACCCGATGAAGACGGGTAGCGCGGGGACGCCCCGGGGTACAATCACGTACATGTGCGCGAACTCCATGTCGTCTGGGTCTTCTTCGAGCGCAAAGTACCTGCATCCCTCCGCGGGTGGCTTCACGACATAATGGACCCCAGGCCGTGGAGGCCCATCAGCCGCGGCCGGCGGCGAATTCGCCTTCCACTCCGTCGGGCCCGTCGATGGCTTCGAAGCATCTCTTGGTGGCGGGTACGTTGGTACCACCTCGAACAAGCGGACGAACTCGTACGGGCTCAAAGTCTTCAACTCGGCATGATTGGGTCGGTAGGCGTACGCTCGCGCCGTCGCGTCCGGCGGAGTGGCCACCTCGCCTGCGTCCGTGAACACCACGGACCTCTTCTGGCGCCGCGCCGTCGCGCGCCCCGCCCGAGTCTCGTCGGCCACGATCTGGAGGAAGCAGCCCGCGTAGAAGTCGGCGACAGGGCACGACGTGATGCACTCCGCTGCGAGCGGGTTCGGCCTGTCCGCGAAGTGCGCCAAGTTCACCTCCTCGAAGATCGTCCGCGCCACGCCCTTGGCCTCCCAGTCCCCGATGCAGCGGTGCACAGTGTTGAGCGTCTGCTGCATCTCGGACTTCCCATGGAGTCGCTCGGCCAGCGTGGACAGGCAGGTCTTCGCCAGTTCCCGCGCCTTCTTCCCGACGCGCTGCACCTTGGAAATGTACCCGCCGATGTACCGCGAGGAGTTCGACATGGACCGCTGCACCGCGAATGCGATGCGTCGAAGGTGCCCTTCTTCTGTGTCTTCTCTGGAGCCGTGTCGACACAGGCAGTTCGGGTCGTGAGTAATGCCTGTGATCAGCGGGAGCCGGTTGTTCGGCGCCGTGTGCGTGTTGCTCCGAAATGCCACCGCCAATGCTGGACAAGTCCCGCTCAGGAAATCGTCGTTCCGAGGCCCCGCGATCTCGCCCAACGCATTCCTCGGCCCGTTCACTTTAAGCCCGACTTCCCTGGCCACCTGAGGGCACACAACGCGGAATCTCGGTCCATCTGGGGCCGCCATGAGCATGGTCTTCGGGAAGCCGTGCTTGCACTTGTCGCCGTGTTTGCAGCCTTTCTTGATGCAGTGTGTGAGCGGCTTCCCGTTGGGATGGTGGTGATGCTGGACCTTCGAGAAGATCATCTGCGCATCTGCCTCGTAAGCCTGCTTGAAGGTGGCCGCGTCGGCGTCGCAGGCAACGGCATCGCACCCCTCGTCCCACTTCGTCTTCGGCTCGGCATGGTCCACATACGCGGGCCACCGACACAGACCTACGTGCTCCGATGCGCGGTGATTCTGCCGCCACTCAGACTCCAGCGACGGTAGGCTCTCCCGGTGCTCCTCGGGGGCCCAGTGCTCTTCCCTGTGGACCCACGCGTGCCACTCCTTCACCGCGTCCGCCAAGCCAGGGGACTCCCGAATTGTCCTCGCGATCTCAGTCAAGGGTGCGTGCTGGAACATGTTCGCGAGGTACACGAACCCGTGGAAGTGGAGCGTGCCTAGGTGCTGGTTCTCGACGGCGCCAAGCAAAGCTGCAGCAACCCCGAAAATCCCGCCCATGGGGCGCGAGTTGGAGCCGAACTTGTCCGTGCAGCAACAGCACCGGGGCTGCCTACGATATCTTCGCGCGACGCCGCACTCGGCGCACAACCGCAGACCCAGGAGGCGGCCCAAGATCACGTTCACGGCGACGCGGAAGCCCTGAACGACCGAGAGAGGATCATTGGCCACTTCGCACAGACGCAAATCGAAATCGGGGAGCTCCGCGTCGGCGCTCTCCGACAATGACGGCCACTCCCGTGACGCCAATCGTTTCCTCATGGCATTCCGTGCGTCGTCTGTGCACCCCGCGCGCAGCAGCGGGTCGCCCTGGCGTGCTCTGTGTAGACGCATCACCAAGCAGGACTGCTTCTCATTTGGCGAGATGGTGATGAAAAGCCCGTGCCCGTATCCAATCGCGCCAGACTGGAATACGTGGCCCATCCTGCGACGCAGCTCCTGGGTGCCTGCAAGGCTGCTCGTCACAGAGCGCATGTTGTGCACGATCTGTTTCTGGGTTGTGTCCAGGCCATGCGCCATGTGCAGCACCGTCAAGTTGCCAGCAATTGGCCGCCTGTTCGGCCCGTAGTACCCCTTCGCCAACAGGTCGTGCAACCCGCGGACAGCCGTGGTCAGGCGCTCCGTGAAAGCGGATCCGTCTTCGTCCTTGTACTTCCTGACTTTGCTCCCCAACCTCGCGGTGATGCCCAAAAAGCGGAAGTGGACATTGCGCATGCCTGGGATGAAGAGCCAGTCCGATCGGATCTGGTGTTCCACTCGGCGACTCATGCCTGCAAGCCACATCCCCATGCTGATGGACGGCCGGTTTTGCACTTCCTCGGGCCGCCCCACCGCGCGGCGCCGATGTGCGGCATCGGCACCGTTGCGCCAAGACCTCGTGAAGTCTGGCCCCCCGCTCTGCCACAGCAGCGTGTGCGGGAAAGCGATCGCGGGGCACTTCCCGTTCCACTGCTCCAACATGGCCGCGTCGGCGACGTACGGGACGACCGGCCCGCCGTCCATGGCTCACTGTTGGCGCTGACCCGCGGTCCCTTGCCGGGACGTCGCATCTGTGGGCGCGCAGGCGGTCGGTCTGGCATCGTCGAAAACAGAGGCGACGTCAGTGCTGGCCAGCGCCGGAGTCGCGTGCTTGTTATCCTGCACACTGCTCCTGGACGGATCCGCCACCACCGTCGCCCGGTCCACGGCTGGCGGGACCTTCCCGTCGGTGTCCTCGGGGGTGCCGAGCCACGGGTAGCACTGCTTCACGCGCCTTTCAAACGCCTCCTTGGCAGCGGCGATTGCGATGGGATTGCCAGCAGCATCTCTACAAAAAGCGGGGTGGCCGCGGTCGATGAGCTCCCAGCCGAGCTGCAGCACCACATGAGCGCGGAGGCGCATGCGCTTCAGATGCTTCGACATGTCCTTGTCTTTCATCCGGAACTCGAAGCGAACCAAGTGGGCCAGCGTCTCGCCGTCGTGGGGCAGCGCCGCAGCAGCACTGGAACTCTCCGTGATGGCGAGCAGGCGCTCCAGGACGTCGTCCCAATGCACCAGGAAGCTGGCCAGATTACCGCGGACAGCGTACCGACTGTGCGGATGCATGGCCTCTGGGGTTCGCCGTGCGAGCAGCGCGCCACTACCCCCCGTGCACCACTCGGCCACACTGCAGTTTCCAGGGGGGGCGGGGTCCGCAAAGAACAGAGAAGGGGCAGTGCCGCGCTACTTCGCGCAGCTCGCCTGATTGTTCATGAGGTGGCCCTTATCGCCCTCGACGTAGAACGCCATCAAACTCGTCCACACTGGCGTGGCCGCGGCCATCTCGATCCACCGGGGCTTGTGCTTCTCCCACCATGCCGACACGAACCCGACAAAATTGTCGTTGGCGATGGCGGGACGCGGGATTCGCTCCCGCACCGTTCGCGTCTTCGCGAAAATGCCGCGGCACTGCCAGCACAGAGGTACGCGGCACGACTCGCACAGCTCATCAACAACTCCATGCTGACGGTCGCACACCACGTCTTCCGGGCAGCACAGGAAGCGCATGGAGTTCTGGCTTCCGTTCGGACCATTCCACCGCACCGTTCGCACCCACGGCGAAGACGCGGTTGTCTGCGTCGGATAGTGGTGCGACCGCGTCCCGCGGTGGTCCGGAGCAGGGTGCGGGAAGTGCGCCAGGAACGCGTCCAAGCCGAAGGCGTACTCCAGGAGCTCACGCGGACAACTGCGCAAGAGCCCGCGCAGTGGCGTCCATCCAATCTCACTGACTCCAGCGGACTCGGGGTCCTCGACACTCGTGTAGATCTGACCGCAGCAGAAGCACACCAGCGACGACAAACAAGCATCGTTCGCCACTTGCCTCATGGTGCGAATTGCCCGCCGGTCTCTGCAAATGCCGAGAGCTGGCATGCCAGTGCGCGCCCGGACCTCCACCGCCTGGCAGTAGATGGACCAGATCCACGCTTCCTGCTCCTCCAGCACCTCGGCATGGACGCCGACATCGTCGGCGCTGTCAGCGAGTCTCTTGTTCCACCCCTGCCTCCACGCTGCTGGGAGGCAGGCCTGGTGGCAGCTGATTACGTGGCGCCGCAAATCCCCTTCCGTCTCCCCGGTCCAGCGGCACTGCCGAACGGCGCAGTTGCAGATCGGCCACTGCAATCCGTCCATTACCTCCTGGATGTTGTCTGCGGCGTCCGACGGGTCGAACGGCGGAGGAAGCGTCGGGTCCTGCCGGAGAAATGCAGAGAAAGCCCGAGCTGCTTCGTGGGCGACGTCCAGCGTCGTGTGCGCCACGTCGGCGCCGCAGGCCAAGTGGTCAACGTCGGACTGCTCTGACCCGGCAGGGGCCTCCGACAGCTCGGAATTGGAGTCCGACGCCGGCTCTGAGGGCGATGACTCCCGGTCGGCGTCGGAGTCAGACTCGGGGGCCTCCGCGGCTGCAGCGGCATGCTCTTCGCGTTCGCCCTGCGGTCGGAGACGCCCTGACGCGGCGCGCGGCAGCCGCGCCCCGTCGGCGGCCTGCGGGCGCGCGTTGCTGCCGGAACTCGCGCCCGCCGCACTCCCTCTCAGTGAACTGCAAGCGCCCGGACGCCTCGGCTCAGGATGCGGCGGCGGCGGAGAAGGCGCCCGAGCGGGCGCGCCAGCGGAAGAGTCTGCCGCGCCGACTTCATGGCGCGAGCGTGGAGGCCGGGGTTCAGGATGCGGCGGCGGCGGTGGAGGTGGCAGCGGTGGCGCGGTCTCCACTCCCAGAGGGTCGTCGAGAATACGTAGAACCTGATGACAGAAAGCCGCCACGTCCTCCTCGCCGAATAGCGCATCCACGTCAGCGAAACACGACGGGTCGCTGAACTTCCCCCGGCACGCGGTCGACGGCCCCCACGGTCGCGGAGCGTTAGCTCCTGACGTCGCCACGTCCACCGCATCGTAGTGTGAATACCCGTCGACGTCATAGTGGACAAAAGCAAAATCGAGCACTGGGATTTGCGCACGTCCCTGCAGCAACCCCTGGTCCGGGAAGATGGCCGCCTGGCTCCACGCGTTGAATGGCACGTACAGAGCGAGAGCGCCACAAGCCTCCAGGAAGTGCGTGATCACAACAGCGTCTGCATATCGGCGCGTTGCCGACACGTCCTCCGAATGGAGGCCCATGCATATGTCCACGTAGAACACCTGCAGTGGGCGGGGGCAAGAGATAACGCGGGGGTCACTGCGACTCCGCCATTGAAAGCCAGACCAGTCCCCCCAAAAATTCCTTCGCCCGAGTGAACGCATAAGCGCGGCCCCAGACGCCCTCTCGGCAACGCCCCGACGGCCCCGCCCTCAGAGTTCGAAAGCATCGCGTGCCTCCTGTGCAAGCACTATTTGGGAAATGTGCTCCTGGATCTCCGGGCTCCGCGAAGGGCACCCCTTCCTCCCCGTGCCCGCGGCGCCACCTTCCAGTTGGGGAGACTGCCCCACGCGACGCCACTGGCCACCTGCGCTGGCAACTCCTTCTGCAGGCGGGCCCTCCTCTCCACGGCGTACTCGTCCAGCTGCAGCGCCTCGAACAATTGCCGGTTCCGCTGCCTCATCATCTTCACCAGCGTCCATCTGTACAGCTTCCAAGCCGCGCGGCCTGGAAGTCCCAGTTCGACAGCCGCAGCGCGGAAAAAGCACAGCCCGTCTCCACGAACAGGGCGCGCGGACAGCCGCATCCCTGGCCGCGTCGCCGAGAGCAGATCAGCCACGCGACCCAGCGACTCGTTGGCGCAACTAATGCGGGACCGCCTGATGGCCTCCCCGTCATCGTCGAGCCCAACCTCGCTCGCGCGCGCCTGGTCGACTGCGATCTCCTCGTCGCTCGACTCCGCCATGGCGCGCCAGAAGCGTCGCCGCCCCGCAGGCCAACTGGGCAGCCCTGACTGCGGCAAGACTGGACCCCGGAGCCGCTATCGAGCCCACATGGTTCACAGATGCCGCGCGCGCTGAGATGGGCCATTGTGGGACGCACGGCTAATGGGCGAATTCCGATGCGACCTCAGGTTGCGCGGCGCTCGGCGCATGCTCCGGGGTTGTTTTCAAAATGGTCTTGCATTGAAGCGTGATTTTCGGAAGGGCGCTCGCAGACGCCACGCAGCCCCCTGGGGCTCCACGATCCCGGAAGTCTAAAAGGACCTGGGGTTCACAGAGACAGAATGGATCACAACCTCCGATGCCCCAGCGAACGTGCTGCCCGCCCACAGGGGTCGGATCAAAAGGCCTCGAAGGTGCAGCCAGGAAGAAGAATCACAGAGCCCGAGATCGGCTTGGCCATCGCTCCCCGGAGTATCTCCCGCGGTCACTGCGGGTTCGCATTGAAGTTTAAACGCGACCTCAGGTTGCGGGACAGACAACGCAGAAGTTCCCCAGCAGTGATGAAGACGATGGTGGTGCTCATGATGGTGACCGTTATCGTGTGGCCTCGTGCGCCGGCGAGTGATGATGACGATGGTGGTGCCGGTGATGGTGATGCCGATGGTGGTGTTTGTCGTCCTGGTGGTGCTGATGATGGCAGGTAGGATGATGATGGCGAGGCTGATGATGAAGGAGGTTGCTTTCAAAAATCGGACAGACCACTGGGATAGCTTCAGAAAGATGAGGGAGGGAGGTTTTTGCAACAGCGCTGGACGTACAAGCCTAGACCAAGCGTTTGGGGTTATGGCTGCTTTCGCTTTTTATTGTGCTCGAAAAAGGTCAAAGCTAATGTACATGCAGCACCGTGCGAGCAGCTGCGGATCGAAAGTCCCGATAATCATGGGAGCGCGCTGTATGGCCGACGGGGAGAGCTGGAAAATGTTACTACCTGAGCGCTGGACTACCTGAGCGCTGGAACGAGTCCTTCACCCCTCAGTGTCAAGAGATGTGCAAGCACGACGAGGCGTTGGTCAAGAGGCCTGGTCAAAACTGCCGCTGAGAAGGCAAAGCTGGTTCTGCCGCTGAGAAGGCAAAGCTGGTTCTAGCCGAGTCTGTGGCTCGGCAGTCGTGGCGCTGAGAGGGCAAGGCTGGTTGTAGCCGAATATACTCGGGGGTTGCCAGGGGTGCCCCCGGCCCAATGCGCTTCTGGCTTCTCGTGCCATTTTAGAGCCCCCAGGGCCCTCTGACCCCCGCGAGGAGCGCTCTGGAGGCCGCGGGGGCCCCCGCGGAACTTCTGGGGCACCTTGGGCCAAGGACACCTTGAGCATCATCCGATATAGCGCCGGCCAGCCTGCGCTCGGAGCGGCGCTACTTCCCGGCGCCGCCCTGGCGCGGCACGGCCGCGGCAACCGCGGCGAGGGCATCGAGGTTGAGGGCGCTCACTGTCTCCGCGTTCTCCATGGGCTCCAGGGCGCGCAGGAGGTCGCCCGTGGGGGGGCTGTCGCGCACGAGCACAAGCAGAACCTCCAGGCCGTCGAGCAAGGGCTCCAGCCCGTCGAGCTTCGCCATGTCGTCCGCCAGCATGGCCGCCTGCGCATCTGCCTGCAATGATTCGAGGAAGCGATCAAGCTTCGCCACGATCTTCGCAACGGCCGCCTCCGGCGACAAGTCCCTCGCCGCCGCCGCGGCTGCCATGTCCCCCTCGATCATCGTCAGGCGCTGCGCCCACTCGAGCCTTCGAACGGGGGTTGCATTTCCCGAGGCAACGCGCCCTCTGCGCCGCCGCATCGGGAGCGGTGCGCGGGGATCGGGAAGACCGCGACATGAACGCGATAATCATAGCCGCGCTTGCCTTCCCGAGGCGGAAACGCCCGGGCGCCCCCCCCGAAAATGCAACCCTCGCGCGGCAACCTGTCGGCCGGGAAAGCCGCCGCCGGCCAGCGAGACACGGTGCCCGCGAGCGCCTCCGCGCCGACCCCCGGCATCTCCACGAAACGCTTGACCGCGGCAGCGATGTCCAGCTGAATGCCCTTGAACGCACGGTATTTCGCCCTCTCCGCAGACTGCGCTGCGCTCCGCGCTTCCCCCGCTGCGAACGCCGTCGCCGCCTCGAGGTACGCGCCCACCGTCACCTCCGCCGCGGCGGCGGTCGGCGCCGGGACGGCGTGGGCCAGCGGCGCGGCCGCGGGCGCCGGCGCCTGCGCATCCCCGGCGACGCCCGCAGGCGGAGCCACCGCCGGGACCGCCAAGGCTCCGCCGCTGGCCATTGAAGCGGCACCGACCGCCGGGGCGCCCGCGGGCGCACGCGCCGGCGGCACGGCATCCGCGCCCGCGCCAACCGCCGCCAACGTCATCGCCATCGACGCGGCAACGCCGCCCGCCGTCGCCACCTGGGACGCGCCGGCGGCGCGCGTCACTTCCGCCGCCGCGGCCGCTGACGGCGGCGCCGCGCCAGCGCCAACCGCCTCCACCCCCGCCGTCGGCGATTCAGCGACGCCGCCCGCCATCGACATCTGGAAAACGCCGGCGGCGGTTGTCTCTTTCGCCATCTCTGCCTGCGTCCCGCGCTGCCCCGCATCCACGGACAGCGTGACCGCGGCGAAGTGCTCCGCGATGAGTTTGTCCTCGCGCGCCTTCACCTTCGCGGCCACTCCGGTCAAGTCCGTCGCCGGGGCGCAGGCCGTGAAGACGGACCGGAACCGCTCCACCGCGCAAGCGCATAGAGCTCCAGACGGGACGAGGAACGGGTACTCCTGCACCAGATCGAGGAGCCCATCGACGTACTTGTCGGCGACCAGTCCCACTGGGCGAATCTGCACGGAATGCCACGACGTCCACCTGGAATGGTTCGTGGAATTCGTGTTCTCCCGGAACAGCAGCTTCGACGCTCCGCCCTGGTGCGAGAACCCTCCTGGGCGGCCAACGGCATTTACGCCCATGGCCTCGCCGATCAGTTGGCGCAGCACGGCGCGGAACTCCTCGAAGGTCTGCGTGTACATCCCGAAGCACCACGCACCTGGGGCATTCGCAATGCCGCCCTCTGCCGTTTCCTGGACGACAGCAGTCGGGTTGTCCTGGTGCGACGGGCTCATGTACTCGGCCACGACGTTCTGCGGCAACCCAGCATTGAATGCTGTGGCCCACTCGGGGACGTTGGCCGCATTCTTGGAAATCAAGCCGGACATCCAACGAACTGCGTTCTTGGACTCCTTCCTGCAGACAAGCTCGTCCGCATCCGCGAGCACTCCGACGATGCCGCCATCAAATGCCAGGCCCTTTGCCTGCACACTGACGTCGAAGAATACCTCCAGCACCATGGCCTGGACCTTCGCGTTCGCGTCCATCTTGCGGGCCTTCAGCGGGGAGCCACCGGCCGACTGGAGGAACGAGGTCATGCTGAGGAAGTCAACGCGAGTTCGCTTGCCTGAGAGAACACCTTGGTCCGAAGTGGCTGCGGGACTTCCACCTTGCCTTCTCTTTCAGATGGACAGCCTTCATCTGCAGGGCTCTTGGCGTCCACGACGGCCCCATATGCCTCCACAGTGACAGTAGGACGCCCAGAAGAGGCTCCCAATAATGCCTCCGCAGACCCAAAAGTGACCCGGCACGCCTGCAAAATGGCGCAGCTCGCCCACGCGCACGAAAAGATATCCCCAGAATGCCTCCGAATAAATTCAAATGATATAGCAGCGGTGCTGCGAAGACAGGAACGAATCCCACAGACGGGCCAAAGTAGCCCCAAGAGGCCCCAAGAAGGCCCCAAAGATCCTCCCACGAACCCGCGAAAATGGCGAGCGCCCCCAAAGAGCCCCCGATGGGAAAGACGAACTGGCATTTTGAACCTTTCCCCCCAAGATGGCCCCCAAGAAAAAGAAAAGCCTCCCGCGGGCTCCCTGAAAAGACCCCAAAAGGCCCCAAGATGGTCTCGCGATGAGGCCCCCCAAAGCGCCCCAAGACAGCCCAAGGTGACCCCAATAAGGTCGGCTGAAGAGGCTCCCAAAATGGCCTCAAGATCAGAGGCCCCCAAGAGTGCCCCAAGACAGCCCAAGGTGCCCCCAACAAGGTCGGGGACGGCCAGCACGACAACGAGTATGGACCAGGATGGACATCAAGACGGCCGACACGGCCTTCAACGTGAAGGCTGAGTGACTCTGAATGTGAGTGAGTCTGAATGTGAATGTGTCTTCGCGTGTGAGTCTGAATATGACTGAGCACACTGTTACTGTATCTGGGTGTGAGCGGTATGCGGAAGACTCAGTCAGGGAATCAGAGAATCTGAGTTGGAGTCTGAATGGGCTGTAGGGCTATAGGGCTATAGGGCTCTAGAGCTATGCGGCTATAGGGCTATAGAGCTATGCGGCTATAGGGCTATAGGGCTATACGGCTATAGGGCTCTAGGGCTCAAGGGCAAAAGGGATATAAGGCTATAGGGCTATAGGGCTATAGGCCTATAGAACTATAGGGCTACAGGGATATAGGGCTATGGAGCTATACGGGTATGGGGATATAGATGTGAAGGAATATCGGACTACATTGCTATATGGGCTATTGGGCTATTGGGCTACAGGACTATAGGGCTAAAGGGTTATAGGGCTATAGGGCTATAGGGCTATAGGGCGGCTATAGGGCTATAAGGCTATAGGGCTATAGTGCTCTAGGGCTCTAGGGCTATAGGGCTATAAGGCTGTAGGGCTATAGGGCTATGTAGGCTATAGGGCTTTAGAGCTATGGGGCTATAGGGCTATAGGGCTATAAAGCTATAGGGCTCTAGGGCTCTAGGAATATAGGGCTATAGGGCTACAGGGCTATAGGGCTATAGGGCCTCCGAATGCCCCCAGAAAGCTCCAAAGATGCTCCAGGAGTGCAAAGTCGATCAGGGCCCCCGCTGGAGACACGAAACAGCGAGAAGCACACGACCACGACCTCTGACGGTGCGCTTTGACCAGAGTTCCGAGGTGAATCCAGCCGTGACGCCGAGGGTCCCCCAGGCGAAAACGAGGAAACGTAATCGGCATCGGCGTGTTTTCCTCCTCTGAGGGCGGGCAAGCCGCCCCTGCCGATGCCGAAAATGTGCGCTGCCTGGATTTGCCAGGTTACGCTGGATGGCTGCCCTTAATGTCGTCATGACTCTGGTGCGCTGCCCGGATCTGCCGGGTCACGCCGGATGGAGCGAGTAGCGAGAGACGGCTGGGAGTTCTGGTAGCAAGTAATAAAGCGAGAGGACCTCGAGGAAAAAAAAATACCGATACCGCTAATGACTGCCACGACCTCTTAGGGTGCGCTCTGACCAGAATTCCGAGATGAATCCAGCCGTGACGCCGAGGGGCCCCGAGGCGAAAGCGAGGAAAGGTAATCGGCATCGATATTTTTTCCCCCTCTGAGGGCGGACATGCCGCCCCTGCCGATGCCGAAAATTGACTACCTACCAGACCACCCCAACCCAACCCGAAGACCCCGATTTCGGGTTGGGGGGGGTAAGGGTTCCACATGTGTTTTTTCGATGTTTCCCGAACCCCCCCCCACTGGAAATCGAGGGTAAATCTGAGCATTCGGGTTGGGTTGGGGTGGGTTGGTGGGTGGTGAAAAATGTGCGCTGCCTGGATGTGCCAGGTTACGCTGGATGGCTGCCCTAAATGTCGTCATGACTCTGGTGCGCTGCCCGGATCTGCCGGGTCACGCCGGATGCCGGCAACCCAGGAGCTGGTCGAACACCTCCTGAAAGTCCCTCCGAGGAGGCCTCACTCTGCCAGCGGACCCCCATCTCCCCCCCTCCTTCAACATTTCCAACGCCCGGAGGCGACCCAACAGCGCCCCAAGACGGGCCAAGATATCCCCAACACCGCCCAAGAGAGCCTCCAGAAGACTCCAGCCCGCTCGAAGACGCTCTAGACGGCACCAGGCGGTCCACGACGCCTCCAAGACGCTCCAAGAAGCCTCCGAGACTCTGGAAATCGCAAGGGCACCCGAAGAACCACAAGGGCACCCGAAGGCACCCGAAAGCACCCGAAGGCACCCGAAGGCACCCGAAAGCACCTCAGAACCCTCTGACACCAGGAGTGCCCACAAGGCTCCCGTTGATAACTCCCACCACACACTTCCCCAAACCTTCCAAGAATAGCCGGAGAATCCCATACATTCGCATGGACGCTCCGCAAAACTCTGAAGATTTCCAGAGAACCCGAAGAAGCAGAAGGGCACCCGAAGGCACCCAAAGGCACCCGAAGGCACCCGAAGGCACCTCGGAGACATCCAACAACGGGATGGCACCCGCAGGGCTCCCGTTGAGCACTCCCTCCGAATGGACATCCCCGAAACCAGAAACACACCAGATAGCGTTTTGAAGTCACCTGAAGGGCCCGTGACCCCCCTTTGCCAGAATCATCATCACCGCCATGGTAAGAATCGCCAGGATCATCATCATCAGAAGGTCCTCGAAACTCTGGGGATCGCCAGGGCACCCGAGGAACCACAAGGGCACCCGAAGGCACCCGAAGGCACCTCAGAACCCTCTGACAACAAGGAGCGTCCACAAGGCTCCCGGTGATCACTCTCACAACACACTTCCCCAAACCTTCCAAAGAATAGCCAGAGAATCCCATACATTTGCATGGACGCTCCGCAAAACTCTGGAATTTCCAGAGCACCCAAAGACGCAGAAGCGCACCCGAATGCACCCGAAAGCAACCGAAGGCACCCGAAAGCACCTCGGAGACACCCATCACTGGGATGGCACCCGAAAGGCTCCCGTTGAGCACTCCCTCCGAATGGACACTCCCGAAACCAGAAACACACCCGATAGCGTTTTGAAGGCACCTCAAAGGCCCCTTACCCCGTAACTCGCTGAGCCCTCTACAGACTGTCATGTTAGTAAACCCATAAAAAGTACCAGAAAAGTGTCAAAAAAGTGTTATTATCGATGTGTGTGATATGTCCTAAAACTGTTTGCGAAACGTACAAGAAAAGGATACGAGGATGGTCGCAAAGTGTCGGCAATGGTTTCCAACGCCCCCTAGGTGTTCGAACAAGTGTCCGCCCCGCCAAAAAAATCCCAACGGAATTCCAGAACACGTTCCAAGAATTGAATGTTGAATCATCCAACAACGAGCTGCCATATGCAAGCGCAGCCGCTGGCAACGGAGCCAGCGATAAAGGAGGAATGGGAGGCGGGCAGGGCACGGAGAAGGAGGTTGAGGAGGCGGGTGGCAAGGAGAAGGCCAAACCCGAGAAAGAAGAGGGGATGGCGGGTGGGGGGATGTGCAAAATAAGCTCATTTTTTATTTGCAGGGCGCGGCTCCCGCCAACGCCGCGAGACCCCCGAAAAAGAGTATCCTTGGGCAGCGCACGCTGCACACGGCGAACTGGTGAGCTCCCGCCTCGTCATCATATGTGTGGTTTTGGTTGCGGCGGGGGGCGCTGATAAATGCGTCGGTGAGCCCATCTGAAAATGAGGCAAATGATGGATTTCCCGCGCCCCGCCCATCATGTGTTGCACCAGCCAAGCTGCGCGCATCCCCCCCCGTCCTCTCCCCGACGCAGGGGGAACTCGAGAGGGCAGTGCCCTCGCGCTTTGAAAGGTGGCGGCGTCGCGCCGCCGCGCAGAGACCGACGCAGTCACCGAGCTTGCGCGCCCAATCGACAGGCGCGCGCGCGCGGGGGGAGGCCGACCGAGACGGACGTTGCTCATGTGCAGGTCTCCCTCTCCCACCTCCGCACACTCCTCCCTCCCGACTCCGACCCCCCGCCTCCTACGCGTATATGCACCGCCGTACCCGTGGGCACGGTGGGGCATCGCTGAATGCCAACTCGCATCGGGTTGGGGCGCCCCTGAGGCCCGATGACGGCCTCATGGTGGCCTTAGGGAGGGGCGGGTAAGGTTGCGGGTGTTCCTCGGGCGCCCCGCTGGACACCCATGGTGTTCAACGCCCCCAACCCCCGCCGAAACACGTGCCTGCGCGCGCCGCCCCCTCTTACACATGGCCCCTGGGGGCCCCACTCGCCCCTAACGCTCTCAACACAAAGCGCCTATAGATGGCTGCCAAACCAGATCAGGCAACCCCCAGCGGCAGCAAAGGCCACCCTGCGTGCATCCAAGACCGCTCAAGATGGCCCCAACACGGCTCTGAGGCTGTCCCGAAACGCCCCAAGAGTCGCCGCGCGAGACAGCCCAAGAGAGATGGCCCTTCCCCGCCTCAGTAGGCTCGAAGAGACAAGAATTAACGATGTGCCTTACACGTGTTTCGAACATGAGTGGGCCCTCGCCGTCTTGAGCACCCGTCGGCCCAAGGCGGCCGGCGAGGTGACGGGCATCGACTTCAGACTCACCCAGGGGCTCTACAGGTTGCCCGATACACCCAACATGGCCCAAGATGATTTCGAGACGGCCCGAAGACAGCACGAAGTCGGATCGCGAGAGTACCCAAGCGCCCCTAACAGCCCCCACCCAAGGGAGGAGGCCAACTTTACCCAGAAGGGAGCCCGATATTGGCGCAACAAGCGCCAACCAGCCCAAATACACCCAAAGCCATACCAAGGGGTGCCCCCAGGCGCTCCGAAGCTCCCCAAGACGTCCCAGATAGGCTATTCGCGACGGCCTTGCGCGCACCCTATCGAACAGTCGCCGCCCAAGGTGCTGGGCTGGTACGACGGCGGGGGATGCCGCAGGCATTTAGGATACGCAGTGGCGCCGAACGCCCAATCGGCCTCCCCCGAGCCCGACCACGGCTCAGGCCGTGAACTCCATGGGCAGCTCGATTGCCAGGCCGTGAAATCCATCGGCAGCTCGATGATCGGCTCAGGCCGTGAACTCTTTCGATTGCTTGATGATCTCGCAGATCGACTTGCCAAAGTCAGCGATGGCCCTGGGGCAGTCGGTCGTCGCACCATCCAAGTAGCGCTTCACCGCATCTGCGACCTTGTTCCTCTTGTCGGCAGTCGTCTTGCAGTTCTCGAAATAGTAGATGATCTTGCCCGCCGCGAACGTCTGCGCGGCCGCCTTCATCGCAATCTCCGCCTCGCGGATCGCGGCGGTGTCGATCTTGAAATTCAGGGTGCTGGCGAACTCCTCGTAGCGTTGCTTCGCCTAGCGGAGCCCCCTTCCTCATCCTCCTCCTCTTCCTCCTCCTCCTCCTCCTCCTATTCCTCCTCATCCTCATCCTCCTCTTCCGCGTCCACCTCCTCCTCCCCCTTCTCCGCTTCCTCCTCTCTCCTCCTCGTCATCCCCCTCCCCCCCCTCCCCAGCGTTCCCCATCCTCCCTCATGCCACGCCCTCCCGCCCAAGGGCAACACAGCTGGCCTCGAGCAACTTGTCCACCTGAGCGTCCAAGGACGCGGCCACCTCCGACTTGCGGATCGTCTTCCCAGCGTGCGCAAGGAACGTCTTGAGGTTCACCTTCCGCGGCTCGACGAAGCCATCCAGCCAGTGTTTGCTGTCCCCCATGCCGCCAGCCACCTGGTTGATTATTGACGTGAGCGTGGCCATCGAGTTCTTGGAGTGGTCGACCTCCTTCGTGGCGAACGCCGTCAGCAGCTCCTTCCCATTCGAACTCTCGGCGCCAGCCTTGTCATGCAGTGAATCGATGACGTCGCTGAAGTGCCCGCCCTGCAGCTCGCACGACTTCGGTGGAGGCTTGGTGGAGTCCATAACGTCCAAGGCATGCTTCAAGTCTACGATATCATCGATGTTATCGCTAGCCTCCGAATCTGCACCCCTCTCCCCGATCGCGGCAATGGACTCCGTCAGGCGCTTGGTGCACGCAACGAATGACACGATGGAGGTTGCCAGGGCGTGCAAGTCGTCGGCGCCGCCAGGCACGAGCTTGAGGAAGTTGCAACACACGTCGTTCACTTTGCTGTGCGTGATGTCTAAGCTTGGGTTGACGATCATGCTCTTCACAAGGGAGACCACGTAATTCTTGACATCCGTGCCCTGCGCAACGGAGATCTCCAAATGCTTGTTCGCATTGAGCGTCTGCACGGCGAGGTCGAGCTTCTCGTCGCAGGGGTCCTCGGCACAATCGCGCAACGAGCCGAACACCTTGTCCGTGTTCGTCTTTGCTGCCCCTCTCTGCAGGATCAGCCCGATTTTGTTAAGTTGATCAGCGATGTCGCCATTGTGGGGGAACGTCACAGATGCTTCCGAGAGGACCTTGCTGAAGCCGCTAACGATATCGCAGTGCAACCCCGCGTCAGGGGCGGCACTGACCGCCTCCAACAACATCTCCCCGTAATTGACGATGCACTTGCTAACCTCATTCCCGAATCCCGAAACGACATCGGTGAGGCCAGCTGCACCCGCCGTGTTGTAGACAGTCAAACACTTCGTGAGCGCGTCAGGGTCGCGCATGTCGAACGTACGAGAGCCGTCCTTGGAGTCCGAGTCCTCTGTCACTCCCTCCATGAAGTCCTCAACCATGGCACTGTTGGCCCTGAAGTCCAACAGCATCGGGCGCAAATCGGAGAACTTGAAGAACAGCTTGCCAAAGAACTTTGACTCCGTCAGGGCGCAGTAGAACTTGTGCGGCATGGGCGACAGCTCCTTGCCCGCTAAGTTGACCTGCGAGAAGCTGTCAACGGCCATGAAGTACTCATCGTGCACGAGGTTCCTCATGTCGCAGAGGCCGCAAATGACCCTCATCATGAGCAGAGTCTCCCCGATGAGGTCCGCTGCGTCGTCAGTCAATTCGCCGAACTCGCTGCAATTCTGCTTCAGCTTGTTGAGGACGTGCTCGGCATGTCGTTGGATCAGATCGGCAGAGGCACCATCGTCCTGCGTGTACATGCCGTCAACCACGACCGCCTGCGTCCACTCGCTCCTGAATAGCTTCGCCTTGTCCTTAAAGCTGCACCTCATCAGCGACCCCATGGGATCATACCAATCAAACTCTGGCTGCGGCTCCCCATTCCCACCATCTCCGTGAACAACAGCGATGGGCCAGAGGATGTCGAAGCAGGCGTTGAGCGAAGCTGCGTCCAAGTCGCAACGCATGCGGGCGTCCCGCGCCTTGATAGTCACCAGGTCGACTTCCACATGGAGGGGGAGCCGATCGAACTCCAGCAACGCGCACTTCAGGGCATTGTTCACGGTTTCTGGGTCCGCCTTGAAGATCTTCACGTGGGAGAGTTCCTCCACCTTGGCATGCTTCTGAGTCCAGGCATCGATCGTGTCGGCCTTGGTGTTGAGCTTCTTCTCGCGAAGGCGCCTCGCTGCCAACGTGGCTTGGTGACGAGCGTTCCCCTGGTTGCCCAACTCCATTGCCTTCCAGAGGTCGCAACGCTTCCTGTGATCTGCGACGATGACGTCGGCTGGGTCATCCTTGCAGATGGTGGCATCATCACCCTTTAACTGCATTCGCACAGTCTTGGCGATTGTGATCAGGCTCGCCTGGCTCGCGGTGTCATCGTCGCTCTCGTGCACGGCGTAAACCTTCTCCCCACCAATCACAGGCGCAGAGTCGGACTTGGCCGCCGAGGGCGGGCCGCGGGGGCTGGCTTGCGGGCTGCGGCGGGGTCCTTCCGCATCGGACAGCACTTCCAACGATTTCGTAATCCTGCCCATTGGGACTGTGACAAGACTTGGCTGGGCGGGATCGACAACCATGTCCTGAGCGGATCCCGTGGCACCTGGCGCCGAGCGAGCCCTCGAGCTGGCACCCGACCCGCAACTCACTCTTCGCCCGCGCGCCTGCTGCTTGGCGCTGCCATCACCGCCGACTTCAGGGCCACCAATGTCGTCATCGTCATCATCGTCATTGACATTGACAGCCTTGCCTGACTGGAGTTTCGCGATCCTCTTGTTTTCCTTCGTGGCCAAACGATCTTGGAAATCTTCCCAGGTAACCGTCAGCTTGTACTTGCTGTCTCTCGGGCCATACTTGGAGTCCACGGTGCTCTTCACGCAGTCGAAGACCTCCTCGCCTTGGTTCAAGTATGCGTACTGCTCTGGCGACATGGCCTGCTTGCGCTGGCCTTGCTCCAAGACGAACTCGCAGACCCAGGTGGGCCAGTCGCTGACGGGGTCGTATGGGAACAAGTAGAACTCCTCCAGCTGGTCGGTGCGCGGGTCCCTGGCTTTCACCATCGGCACGCCAGCCAGGAGCTTGCGGGTGATATCCCAATCGAATACTTGCTTCACTGTATACTTCAAGTCGCTCATCGTTGGGGCAGTGTACTTCACCACCATACGCTGTTTGAAAGACTGGCCAATTTGAACTGATTCGGGTACGAAGTTCGGGCCCTTGTCGTTAGAGTGCTGCTCGAATGCCTTGTCGAGTGTGATCCCCGTCTTCTCGACCTGGTACATAGCCGAGAACTGCTCCCATGTGATACCGTTCATGTAGGAGTCGTAGTAACCCTTGTGCTTGGCGCACTGGTTCAAGCCACCCTTGGGCGTAGAGGCTGCCTCAGCAGGTCGGGCGCCCAAGGCCGTTGGGACATCATGGCCTTTAGGGCGACTGTCCTCGTGCAAGACTCCGAGGGCCAGGGACGTTAGCGATCTGACATTAGTATTACAACACATTGGCGTATGGTTATAAGGCAGGCCTTTGAGGTTCGGGCCTTAGGCTAATCTTAGGGTTAGGGCGTAAGGGTGGCCAGTCTAAGCAGTCCAGGTTAGTTGGCGAGTCGGTGAGGTTCTGGCCTTTGAGGTTCAGGATTTAGGCATTAAGCTTCGGGCCTAGGTTTAAGGCCTTTGAGGCTACGGGACTGCTTGGGTAGGGTGTAGGGACCTGGTCCTTGAGGTTCGGGCCCTATCAGTAGTGCTATGAAGGGGGCGGTGCGGAGCGAATCCTCGAGACCCCCAGTCGGCCAGGAACGGAGATCGGGCCCCGCGATCCGATGCAAGGACACCGAACAGAAATGGATCGACGGGTGCATTGACACCGCTCACGCTTGATACCGAAACCGCAACCAGCTCGCCTGGGGCAGTGACCGTCGCAGGAGCCCCGCAGCACTCGCACACTGCCTTCCGCGTGCGCTTGGCCTCATCGTGATCTGCGATGCGCTGGGCCGAGAGGATGCGCTTCTGGCCCTGCGACAAGGCGCCTCTCTTCCTGCCAGGCTGGACGCGGCCGCCACGCGGGCCACCGCGCAGCTCAGGTGGCTGCCGCTCTGACATGGCCCCTGAGGCTGTTGGTGCCGAAGCCAAGCCGCTGGGACGAGGCCGACTGTTGGATGGGCTCAAGCAACAATCACTGCTGCTCGAACCTCAACGGCCTCGCGGCAGTAGCCCCGCAGCCCGCGGCAAGGGGGGCGGCATCTGCAACCTTCGCAGCGGCGGCAACGGCACTTCGGCGGGGGGCATAATGAACATTGGCGAGGTGCTTCGGGCGACGGGGGCGCGGCCGTGGACCTCGGGGTGCGAGGGGGCGGGTCACAAAGAGGAGGGGGTGCGCAACTTCCAACGCGGCCTGCGTTGGCCATCCGCCGAAACCGACCCCCTTGCGCACGCCGCGTCGCCACCCCCGATCACCCCCGTCAACGATTGAGTCCCGCTTTCCCTTGTGGCCCGCCCCGCGCCTCCAATACGACGGCGCCTCCCCCCCCCTGCCCCCGAATGGGATGAACGGGTGGGCCTGAAAAAGGGGAGTGGGTGGGTGATGTGGGGGGGGGGCTTTAAACATATCAGGCCCTCAAGGGTTGGTGGGATCTTCAACGGGCGCGCTGAGCAGTGTGCTCAGGGGCGGACTCGATCCCACGTGCAGGTCGTAGACCTGAACACCAGCACGAGGTACTGGCACACCCCTCACCCGACCCATTCTTTCCTGGTCGTGACGTACCGCCGCGACTGGCCAGCACGTCCAATATGGCACAAGATGGTTCCGAGGGTTCGCAAGAACAGCCACATAGTGACTCCAATATTGCTCACGATAAAACAAGATCTTTCAACTGTGTGCCCGACATGCTCCAGTAGGCCCCAAGGCAGCTCCAAGGCGGGCCCACGGTGTTGAGGACCCGCCCAACGAACATTCGAAACCCAACAGGTGTCTAGCCTAACGCCTACATGATGTTATTGCGGTTCGCATTCTCGCCCTTACGTTGCCCAACGGTCTCTGAAGCAACGTGAGTCCGCAGCATTGCCCCATAGCTCCCCAAGAAAGGCCCGATATGGCTTCCAGAAGCCCAGCAAAGTCTTAAGCCACAAGCTCCTCGCGTTGATATCCCGCTTGTTATGAACGCTGGCCCTGGGAAGATACAGCAAGGAACGCTGACGTATCAGATAGTAGGATTGCGGGACAACGCACGTCCAGCCAAACGACCAACCAACCAGCTCGTGGCCGAATGAAAGGAGCGTGAGGAATGGCTGGGCATGATGATAGGAGCACCTCCCAAGACCGCACGGTTCACTGCCGCACCTCCCCCTCTCAACATGGGGCTTTGCCCCGATTGACACGCCAGGAGCTCGCGCAAGCGGCGGCAATTGCGCAATTGGCAGCACCAGAAGGGCGATTAGGAAACGCGAATGGGGGGAGCGTCGGATGCCATGAGGTCCTTGACTTAGTGCGAGGGTGAGAGAGGGGATGCGGCGAATGCGACAGCCTGCAGAGCTGGAATCAGACCGTGGCCGTGGACCCAAACGCAGGGGCAAGAGATGGTGGCTAGCTGAATGGCAAAGCAATGGCTGGCGACACGGCAAAACGCTATCCGCCATCCAGCCTCTTGCCACCATCGCAGCTTCCTGCCCTCCTCCGACCTCCGCACCCACCCACCCCCGCATGCTCCGAAGCGCGGGGCTGCGGCAGAAGCGCGGGGCGCGCCTGCGCGACGATCGTGTACAGCACGGGCCGCGAAGAGAGCGATGGGCGGGCCGCGAGGGAAGCAGCCGCAACGGTTAGAGAAAGCAGATGGGTGGATTGATGAGGCCCCCCGAAGGTCCCACCTCAACATCCTCCTCCTCCTCAGCATCACAATTCTCCTGATCCCTAAACGGGCATTCAACTTGCGGCGGGATGGGGGGGGGGGTGGCGGCGCTGGCGCGGGAATTCGAAACGTTCCCCCCTCTGCGTCAGGACAAGCTTCCCCCCGTGGTCAGAACGCGCATGTATGGCCAGATCGTGGTCAGAACGCACCTCCATGGCCAGAACGCGCCCCACATGGTCAATGACTTGCGGCCCTCCCCTGACGAAGATACGGTCAACGACGGATTGATGCTGTGCGGGGGGGGAGGGGGGGGGGGGCAAATTATAGGCAGAATATTGCAAATCACCTGCGCCTAAACACATGGGTGCGTCGATCGGGCTGCACCCATCGGGTCGCACGTGGAATCGGCCGCCGTGCCCGAAACGAATGGAAAGAAGCAGTGATATGATGATCCACCTGCCGCGACAGTGCTCACACATGTCGCGTGTTACCGATGACGCAAACTCGAGCTCAGCACGCCTTGAAATGCACGGCGTTGGTGAGACAACAAAGTGCCGCCGCACCCCATGCAGCATTCAGCCCCCCAACTTCGCACAGTCCTCCCTTGCCCCCGTCCCCATCGCCAGGCGTGCACGCTACGAGCTCAACCCTGTTCTGTGCCGAAGACCTGGCTACCGATCAAACAGCGGGATGACGGACGGCGCCGTCGGCTGGATGACGCGCCCCTCCGCCGACCGATGGACTGGCGGCGGGATCTCATCAGGCAGACGCCGATCTGGCGGCACGTATGGCGCAAACTTCGGCGGCGGTGGCTCACCCAGGCCCTGGGCCTTGAAGGCCTTGGCCTTCGGCTGATGCTTCGGCGGGCGACCCCTGTGCTTCGGACCCGCTGGCACAATGGCGTGCTTCGGAATTGGCACTGGCGGTGGTAGCGGAGCCGCAACCTTCACCATCGCCTTCACCACGCCCTTCGCCATCACGCCCTGCTGCTTAGGCTTGGCCTTCATCACAGCCTTCGCCTTCGCATCCGCTATGAAGGTCGTCAGTGCCGTCATCTTCCTGAGGTTCGCCTCGTGGAACGTCTTCACGCGGGCTCCGACCCACTGGATGTGCTGGTTCTGCTTGGTGATGGCCATGCTCTGCCACTTCACCGTGCGACGAAGCTCGTCACTCTCGGCCATGACATCAGCCAGGCTAGGTAACCCCTTGGGCGGCATCGCCACCTGTCAACTGCAAGCTTGGCCCTGCAAGAAAACACCGAGATGCCGAAACCGCTTGAGCCACTCTTGCTACTGATGCCAACGTTGGGAGGGCCAAGGCAAAAGTTGCCGGATGTCTCTGGTAGGGCTCCTCACGGGGAACGGGTCTGGTCAGAACGCGCCTCCACGGTCAGACCGCGCCTCCCTGGACAGAACGCGCCTGGAGCGCTGTACGCATGTAGAGGACCCCCAATGTGGGACATGAAGAACGATTCAGGTCAGAACGCACCCTGGCCAGAGCGCGCCTCGCTGGTCAGAACGCTCCAACATGGTCAGAACGCGCCCACGTCGTCACTCTCCCTATCCCTGCATTGGTTTTCGAGTGTCGGCGCAGGGGGGTGGTGGTGGGGGAGGGAGGGGGGGCGCGAGGGCTTGAACTCTTGTGTTAGGGCATGTGGCCAGAGCATTACATGACCAGGTCGCGGCCAGAACGCGCCTCCTTGGTCAGAGCGCGCCTCCCAGAGCCAATGGCCCGCACCCCCACCCCCAAACCCCCAACCCCATCACCTTTCCTGACGACGATAAGGCCGACGACGGCTCGACGTGGGAGGGGCGAGCTGGTGAGAAAAACACACATGCAACCCACATGCACCGAAGTAGTTGGGTTCGTAGCTCGAGGTGGCCGCCGCCGAGCAGCACTTAGAATCGAACAAAGCTTTTGTCAGAAGCTAAGTGTGCAATACTGCTTCGTACTCGTCCTGACGCCTTTGCTCTCGCAGGCAGCGTGAATGTCATGACCATCACGCGGGCTCCTGGCGCATTGCGTTAGCTCCACTGCGCTGCTGAGGCAGCCGAGTGTTGCCGCATCTCGTGCAACAATCCTCCATCCCCCATCAACGTCCCACTTCCTCCCATACCCCCGTCCCCGTCATCAGCTGCGCCACAGACGAGCACGCTCCAGTCCTGCGCCGAAGAACCCGATCACTGATCTGGCAGCGCGATGGCGGGCAGACGCTTCGGCTGCACGACCTCCCCACACGGGTGGCGCTGGATCGGCACCCACAGCACGTTGGCTTTCCAACGCGGCTGCGGCGCAGAGACCCGTTGCGGCTTCGGCGGTGGCGTTGCGTTGGCCTTGGCCTTGGCCATGGCCACAGGAACTAGCGGCATCACGGGCTGGAGGCGCATCGCCTCCGCAAGGGCCTCAGGTGGATTGGGCACAGGACTCTCGCTGGCTGGTGCAAATGGAGCTCCCTGCTGCTGCATCACCACGGCCTTCACCTGGGTCACGCGGTGCTTAGAATTTGCCTTCACCACGGCCTTCGCGGCGTCTATGACGAACGCC